GAAGGCAGGGTGGAGACACCCACCCGAGTCCCGCTCACCCTCGAGATGGAGGCTCGGGTGAGGCTCCCTCTCTGGGACCCGCACCCCCCCCCCGCCCCCCCGCCGTGCATTTCTCCGATGTTCTCTCTGCTCAGTTCACCGTGCCTGGCGTTTGGAACGGGGACCCTGGTCCCTAACCCAGTGACAGAGCGTGGCGGCAAGTCTAGAGCCGCGGGGTCACACGGGTTTGTTTACTGTCCCGCAACCTGTGCGTCTGCACCAGCCTGCCCGAAGCCATTGTTGCTGTGGGCTTCTCCGTTGCCATGGCGACCACCAGGGGCTGGCTACTTCCCAAGGTCGCCATGGCAACTATCAGAGGGGAATCATGCTTGGGATGCTTTGGCTGGCTTTTTCATGAATGATTAGAATGTGTGACACAATGCAGACGCGAAAACTCGAAGGGCGGGCAGTGCAGGGGCTGGCGGGCGCCGGGGACAACTCCCGCCAGACGGCCGCCCGATGAGCTCGTGCAGCCGCGGCTCCCCACCTCCTGGATCCTGCCCTGGCTGCGCAGGGAGACCCCGCCCACCCCGAGGGCCTCAGGTCATGGCTGTGGGGCAGCCCAGGTGGGGGTGGTGATGTCACAGCCGCAGTGCCCTTTGCAGAGGTAGGTCTGCTAGGGAGGGCGGGGCTGGGCCCCCGGGCGGGTGCTGGCTCCACCCATCCCCCCGGGGGCATGCTCCCCCAGGGGCCCTTCCTCTCTGGAGCCAGGCTAGGTCATGGGTACCAGGGGCTCTTGCCCGGGCAGGGTGCCGTCCTGGGGGCCAGCGGTGCCCTTCAGGTGCTGGGTGTGGCCGATCTCGGGAGGGGGCTTTGCTGCTGCGGGCTTTGGCCCTTGAACGTGGCAGCCTGGGCCTCGCGGGTGCAAGCTTCTCAGATCGGAGGGCGAGTGAGAACAGGAAGCAACAGCTGCTCACGCCCGGGGGCCCCCCAGGCGCTGGCGGCACAGGCCTGGTGGGTGGGGCGGCAGGGGACCGCTGTGTGGCTGCCAGGCACTGGGCCAAGGTGGGTCCGGGTTGCTCTGTGGTCTGATGCTGGAGTGGGGGTGTGTGGCCAGCATGCCCACCCTGCGGGAAGCCCCTCAGGACTGGCTGGCTCCCATCTTGCTTTTGGGGTGACAGGGAACAAGGAGCTGAACCTCCTTGGAGCCTCTCTGCAGTGGGCATGTCCCCGCTTTAGGTCACTTGTGACGGCAGCAGGCCCCGTCTCCAGCCTGGCCAGAACCTAACCTCGCTCGTTTCTGTGTTCTTGTGTGATTTTCTAGTTCCAATTTCCAAGCCCTTCTGCTCGGGTGACTGTGCCCAGGTTATGACGACTAATCCCAAACCAAACAAGGCGTTAAAGGTAAGCGGGGGTGGGGGTGAGCAGATCCTGTTTCTGTCCCGGGCTCAGGCCTGGGAAAGGTCCCTTCTGGCCCCAGCAGCGCCTCTTTCCCAGGACTGCCCTGAGTGTGAGGAAAGAAGCCCTGTCCTCTGGAAGAGAGCGGGGGGCTGTTGGCTAGAGGACGTGTCACAGAGAGGTGGTGACAGAATTGGGGGGTCGTGGCTTTGGGAGACACCAGCTCTGACATCTGGGGGGATCCCTCCTTGGGAGAGAGTGGTAGGGGTGGATCCCCGTCGGCTAGGATGTGCTCATCACCCCAGCCCCCAGGGGTGAGCAGTGTATCCTCTGTCCCGTGGAACCTGGCTCCCAGGGCCTGGCCGTCCGCAGTGTGTGCTGCCTCCGCGGGCCTTCGCAGCTTCTGAGGCCGGCAGCGTGTGCTTGGGTTGGCTGTGTCATCCTGGGAGCGGAGCTGGGTGTGCAGGAGAGGGAACTCTCCATGCGTTTCTGGATCGAGCACGCGCAAGCCACATCTGAGGTCCCACTAGGTCCGAGGGATGCAGAAGGATGGGCTGCCGTGCCGTCCCGTCCCCCACCTGCGTGTGTCCGTCCTGGCCCGGGCCCTGGAGATGCACAGAGGGTAGCACACATGTGGACCCTGGCCTTGCAGAATGTGGGCGGCCAGTGGGATCCTGGTGATGGCCGGGTGTAGCCAGTGGCCCCCATCCGAGAGCCATCTGCATGATGCTGTGTGCACAGCGTCAGGTGACCCTGCAGGGACCGTCCCTGTTCCGTGATGGAGGAGCGAAGGCCCGCTTGCGCAGCAGAGGGGGGTGCTGCCTGGAACAGGCTCTTGTGCGCGCAGGGCTTGAGCCGTCTTCTGGGGTCCCGCTGTGGCCAATCCTTCCCGCTGCACCCCGCGTCTCTGTGCTGACCGCTGTGCCGTGGCCCCCGCAGGTCAAGAAGGAGGCGGGCGAGAACGCCCCGGTGCTCAGCGATGACGAGCTGGTGTCCATGTCGGTGCGGGAGCTGAACCAGCACCTGCGGGGCCTCACCAAGGAGGAGGTGGTCCGCCTGAAGCAGCGGCGGCGCACGCTCAAGAACCGCGGCTACGCCGCCAGCTGCCGCATCAAGCGGGTGACGCAGAAGGAGGAGCTGGAGCGGCAGCGCGTGGAGCTGCAGCAGGAGGTGGAGAAGCTCGCCTCCGAGAACGCGAGCATGAGGCTGGAGCTCGACGCGCTGCGCTCCAAGTACGAGGCCCTGCAGACCTTCGCCCGCACCGTGGCCCGCGGGCCCGTCACCCCCACCAAGGTGGCCACGACCAGTGTCATCACCATCGTCAAGTCCGCCGACATCTCCTCCACCTCCGTGCCCTTTTCGGCCGCGTCCTAGTGCCCGGCCGAGGGTGGGGCCTGGGGGGCCGCGGCCGGGCGGGCAGTGGGCTCTCCCCTCGTGCCCATCAGACGAGCCCACGGGGAGCAGACCCCTTAACACCTGAGTCAAGCACAGACTCGCGGCGGGGACGGGGGTGCTGGCTGAAGATGGGGTCTTGTGAGACCGTGTGCTGCACGCCTTCCCACACGCACGCACACGCAAACACGCACACGTATGCACCTGGCCTTCCTCTGGGCCCCACTGGCTCTCTCCGGACCGTCCTTTTCTAGGGGTGTGTGTCTTGCGCCAGGGGGTGTCAGGATGTACAGAGGGAAGGTCCTCGGGAGGTTCCTGGCCCTGTGGCCCAGACGGCGGGGGCTCTGTCTTCCACCCCTCCCGAGAGTGGCCCGCTGTGGTCCACCAGCTGGTGCAGGAACCCCCTCGCTGCCCTGAGCTCTGGAGCCGCAGGGCGAACCATGTGCCCCTGGTGATGAAAAGCACCATGACCCTGCTTTTAGCCTTCCCAGAGACCTGCACCCCGCGAGGCAGAGGGAGGGAGGGAGGGAGGGCCACCCAAGGGGCTATGTGTACGTGCACGCGTGCCCCGGGACGTGCCTGCCAACGCCCCGGGGCCTCGGGGGAATGGCTCGGAATGGCCGGTCACTGGGGGGGCCTCCGGGGTCCATGCGGCAGACAGTTGCATGGGGGTTGGGAGCTTGGCCTCCTTCGGACCTGCCGAGGAGCGGTAGCTGCTGGGCAGGGAGGGGGGCAGCCAGCCGGGGAAGGTGGAGCCCTGCTCAGGGAGGGGGGCAGGGCCTGGGGTTGGGCGTGCAGAGGTTCTGTGTGGAACGGGGGTGAGGTTGGCAGGGGCCTCAGGAGTGGGCTCTGGCTCTGCTGGAGGGGACGGGTGGGGTCTGAGAAGCGAGGAGGGCGTGGTGACAAGGGAGGCCACATGGCAGGGGCCTGGGACCCGCCTCCTGGGGGCACCTGGGTGGTCTCTTGGTGCAGAGGGCAAGGGGACGCAGCTACCTTGGTGCTTATTCCTCGCCTGGAAACTTTACTAGCTCTTTCTGGCACCTGGAGCCCCTGATGACCTTGGTGACCCTTGCTGGGGCTTCCCTCCCCGGTGAGCCTCGACCGATCGGGGCTCCCGGCTCCCGTGTGCCGAGCTTGGACTGCCCCTTCCTGGCCCTGCTGGAGAGAGGCTGGGGCCGCAGGGTCTGGGGGTGGCCGTTGAGCTCAGGCTCCCGGCCTCCTCGTGGCCCTGCCACCCACCGCCTAGGGAGACCCCCACCCCCAGCAAGCCACAGGCCGCCCACACGGAAGAGGAGGCTTGGGCAGGGCAGACGGCCCCAAGGGCCGCGTCTTCCTCCTGCGTCTGCTGTCAGGAGCAGCCGGGAAAGGTGTGGGGCCCTCGCAGCATTGCCGTGCGGCCTTCGCCTTGGCCTTGTCCTGGGGTAAGGGGAAGGGTCTGGGGTGTGCTGGATCCTTACGGAGAAGAAGGCCCAGTGTGTTTAAAAAAAAAAAAAACAAAAAAAACTGTTGATACCATAGCCATGGTAGGTAATCCACATTGGATATCAATAAGGACCATGGGGAAATATTTAAAAGAGAGAAAGTATATATATATATAAAATTATATACACATTTTATCGTACAGATTTTTCGTAACTTTTCCTGTTTTTACTGTAAATTCCTAATAGAGCAGAGCTGCAGTTGGAGTAGGGTGGGGGTGGGAGCCAGTGGCCCCCGCCCCCGGCTCTGGGGAGGGAGGCCTGGGCTGCCCACCCGCCGCTTCCCTCTGCGTTCCCGCCAGCCCTCGGGAGCACCGAGGCCCCGCTTGGGGGGCCCTGGGGCCAGGGAAGGAAGGCCAGAGCCTTCCCCGAGTGCTTTTCCTTTCAGCTCACTGAGATTCCATTGTCACAGGTTTAATATATGGATTTTTTTTTTTTATTTAAGAGAAAAGGCAAGGACTTCTGTCCCTGGGGTTTCCTCCCCTGCCTCCGGGGCTTCAGACGCGGGTCCTTCCTGGGGACGGGGCCTCCTGCTTCCTCGCCTCCGTCGCTCGGCTGCTCCAGTTCCATATTTATTTTTGTGCTGCTTTTATCATGGTATAAATTATTGAGGAGATCCCATGTCGTCCCTGCGCCCGCGCCCCCCCCGTCCCGTTGCGGTCCCCGCGCCCGCGCCCCCTCACGGCCACCACCTAATTTATTGCTGTACATCTCCGCTGTGTGCTTTTGTACCTTCGCAATAAAGAGTTTTCTGGTTTCAGATCCGCCTGGTTTTGTGATTGGGCTGGGGGTCAAGTCCCCGAGTGCAGGGCACCGTTGGACGGCCGCTGCCCCCACGTCCCAGCCCTCCAACACGGCCGTCCTCGCCTGCAGTGGGTCTCCTAGGTTGGGAGGCCCGTCGGGACAGCCACGGGCTGGGGAGGGGGCCGGCGGGTGGAGGCGACCGGGTTGGCTTTCTGAGTGGTGGGGGCCCAACGCCCCGTGTCCCGTCCGCACTGACCGGGAGCCTCCAGCCTTCAGGCACAGGCTGTTCCTCTCCAGCTCAGACGGCTCCCCCCGACCCCCTGGGTGGTGTGTGCCCTGGTCTCGGGCCAGGCCCTGCAGCAGGTGGGGAGAGGGCCGCTCGGCCGGGGGTGGAGAGCAAGGTGTCTAAAGGAAGCGGGCTCTCCCGGAAGCCAGAGCTGAGGGCCTGTGCGCTCCTCACGGGCCTTCCCCACCCCCATCCCTCCGAGGGGCAGGCGTGTCAGCACTTGGCCTCAGCCTCTGAAGGACGGCCGGCTTGCAGGCGAGATCTCGGGGTTTCCAAGACCTGCCTCACCTCTGCCTGAGCTGACGGGACGGCTCCTGCCCTCGCTGTCACTGAGGGGGGGGGTGTCCCCACCAGCCACTCGGGGCTCGCCTCTGGGGGGGCCTGTTCCCTCCCCTTCCAATCCACCAGCTCCCTTCTGTGAAATCGGCAGAGAGCAGAGTGTGCCAGCACTGTGGGGTCGCTGGGGCCCCCAGCTAAGCCAGACCTCCCCGAAGCCAGGCCCACTCCCCCTGCGAGAGCCCCGCGTGGCGGCCCGGCAACGACCTGGCAGCAAGCCTGCGGGTGTGAGCCGGGAAGTCATTGAGGGTTACCCCTGTGCCCCGGCCTGGCCCTCCAGCTCTCTTGGCGCTGCCTGCTTTGGATTGCTGGGGCCATTTCCCAGACGAGAGCGCTGAGGCCAGGACAGGTTAGAGAAGCTGGCCGCTCCTGGCCCCATGCGGTGGGGCCCGCAACTGGGAGCCCACGATGTCATCACAGATGGCAATATGTGCCTCCCTCCCCCCCCCCCCCGAGCACCCATGCTCCCCCCAGGAGGGCGAGGCCGGCAAGGCAGGGCGGGCAGCTGTGACCTCCCTGTGGGTGGCAGGGGTGCGGTGTTACTCTGTGGCGTCAGAAGCAGAAGCCGGGCCTTGTCCACGGCAGAGGTGTCTGTGGGGGCCGGACGAGCGCGAGCGTTGGCTTTTGTGGGCCGGTCCATGTCTTGCTGGCTCTGTGACCTCGGGCAAGTGGCTCACCCTCTCTGGGCCTTGGGCCCCATTCCCGAGGCTGTCGTGAGGATTCCGTGTGCACCAGGGTCCTGGCCCCAGCCTCATACACACTGGACACAGCACACCAGCTGACAAGGCCCTCCCTGGGCAGGGGCCTGCAGGCTAGCACCGCCCTGTCGCTCACATGGGGGCTGGCACTTGGCCCTCCTGCATCCTCCAGACAACTTCCCACCATGGTCACTCCCAAACCTGCTGACTGAGACCTGTGGGGCCAGAGCTGGGCCCACCGTGGTCCACCGGCTGCAGAGGGTGTGATAAGGCAGGCGGGGGACTCTCCATGTGGGTCGCAGGGAGGTGGCATGCCTTATCTCACTGGGCAGCCAGCCAGCCCTCCAAGAAGCTGCGGCCTTGAGTCCTGGGTCTCCATGGGGTGACCCCGCTCTGGCCAGGACACTGCTGGTCAGTTCCTGTCCTGCCGAGTCTCTCCGGACCCTCGGCATGGGGGCATGGGTGGCCAGGAGGGAGGGAGGTCATCACTGGGTGGTGCCCACCAGGCTTTCCTGCCCGCTGTTCTTGCCTGGCCACCCGGCCCAGGCTCCCCACACGCTTGGGCTCTTGGGCACACAGGCCCTGCCCTCAGGCCCTCCAGGAGGCCTCCCCACTCTGCTGGGCTGCTTCCAGCCTCTCTGGCGGGCTCCTCGCAGCTTCTGGAGGGCAGGGCATGTGTCTCCCTGGGCACCGGCCTGGCACTTTCTCTAGGAGAGAGAAAGACGGGGGAGGGCAGGCTCCAGCTGCGAGCCCCATGTGCGCCCCGCACTCTCTCGTGGCCTTCATGGACCCACTGCAGGTGGGGCTGGCCAGAGGCCCATCAATGGAGGAAACTGAGCTCCTAAGGGAAGGGGAGTGCCCTGGGTCTCCTGGGGGCACGGGGAGCGCCCTGGGTCTCATGTGGACACAGGGAGTGCTCTGGGTCTCCCGGGGGCACGGGGAGCACCCTGGGCCTCATGCAGACACGGGGAGCGCTCTGGGTCTCCCGGGGGCACGGGGAGCACTCTGGGTCTCATGCGGACACAGACCAGGGCACCCGGTCTACCTGTGAGCTCTGTGCCCTGCTCTGCTCTGAGCAATGATCTGGACCCTTCCCTCAACAGCAGACTTAGCACAGTGGGGCTTGTCTGACCACCCCACTACAGTCTGCTCATCCGGGGACTGACCTGCGGGAACAGAGGCCACTGGAGTCACTAGAAAACCCAGGTGTTTATGTATAAATAAGTGTGATTCGTCCGTAAGCCCCAGAGCGTGTGTGTGCTCTGTGGGCTGCTCAAGGCGAAGGTTCTGTGCAGGTGGCCCCGGGCACCTCCCGGACCCTCGTCAGGCACATTGGGGTGGGGGCTTTTCAGAAATCTCCATGGCTGGGGGGTCCCCCGCCACGGCCACCTGTCCGTGCCTGCGCAACTCCCGTGTTCTCAGGGCGGGCTGTCTTGCTCTCCCCAGGCCGTCCTTCCCTGCAGGGGCCCAGCCTGGAAACTGTCCCTCCAGGAGGGCCCTGCTGGTGCCCGCCTCACAGCAGCCCCCTGAGTGGACGGCCAGGGGAGCCCAGCGGGTCCCAGGCTCCTCAGATAAGCTCAGACGTCCCCTTCCAGGGTCACGAGCCTGCCGGTGGGAGGCAGGCTGGGAGGTGGCCCCACAGGCCTGGCAGGAGGGCTCCCAGAAGGGGCTTCACTGTGGGTGAGGGGCTCTGTGCTTGCCCAGAGGCCCGAGCAGCCTGGTCTCAGCCAGGTGGCTGGTGACCCGTGGCCCTCCTACAGCTCCTCCAAGGGGATCAGCATCCGCTTTTCCACGTTCCGACTCTTCCTGACCCCACTGGAGCCTCCTGCCACACTGGGGTGGGGGCTGGGGCTCGGGGCCTCGTGTGTGGCCTGCTGGGTGTAGTGCTGGTAGGCCGGTGAGAAGTTGTGGACCGCGTCCTGCACAATGTCCTGTGGGCTCATGGTCTCCTTCAGGCCACTGGAGATACTGTGCATGGGGGCTTCGGGGGCTGGGGGCAAGTGGCATGTATGGGGCGTCGGGGTGCCCCGGACCCGTCATTTCCCCCTCAGACCCCAACCCCGGAGACATGGCCCTGCTCCCCGCCGGTCTCCAGGCTGCCCAGGCCCTGGGCTTGGCCGGCAGGGGGTGACTTCAGGACCTTTGAATCCCAGCCCAGCTCCTCCACCCTGGGCCTGTCCCAGCCCAGACTCCCCAGGGGCCACAGAGACCACCTTGGCCGGCTCCTGCCTTCTCTCTGGCCTGGAGTGAGCCCTTTACACTCGTGGTTATGCCAGGCTGCTAGAGGAGGTGCAGGCCATCCCTGCCTGAATGGATCATTCCCTAGGGATGCCCGGGCCCCTGGGTGTGGTGGCCAGGGCACCCCAGGCTTGGGAGGCACCAAGCCCCCCATCCCAGTGGGGGACGTGGGGGCCCAGACATCCAGTCCAGCCCATCTCACTCAGAACTCAGGGCCTGGGCCAGATGCAGATGTGGCACGTGTCTGGGGCGGGGGTCCTCCCAAGGGGCTGTCTCTCTGTGGGGTTGAGATCCCCTGGGCCCATGTATGGGATGGGGGCCAGAGATGTGCTGAGGGTGCCCAGAGGATGCAGGGCTGGCTGCGCCCCTCCCCAGGTCCACCCTCCACATGCCCCTCCCCCATCCCCGCAGGGCCCGGCGGGCATACCTGGTGAGTTCTCCTTCTTCTCTGCATACACCTGGCAGGTGAAAGCATAGCGCAGGGCAATGGAGGCAAACAGCATCTCGATGCAGATGATGAAGTTCTGGTAGCCAGCGGCCACCGTGCCAGCCCCCACCTTGCTCCCATCGATGACCTGGACCTCAGGGATGACCCCACACTTCTCCAGGATGGCCAGCAGCATCCCTGGGGGATGGTGACAGCCGCTCAGGCACCCGCCCTACACAGGCCTTGGGAGCTGGGTGGGATCTGTAGGGGGTGACAAGGCTCCGGCCCTGCACAGGCTCCTCTGGCCAGCCCTGGGGACGTCCCATCTGTGTGGGCCATTCCATGGAGGGGGAGGCTGATGTTCAGGGGTGTGGGTGCCTCCAAAGCCAGGGTCGTGGCACAGTGGGCATCTGGGAGCTCCCCACGTGTCTGCCCTGACCTTCCCGATCCCAGAGCTGGGGCCTGCCCCTAGCCCCACCCCTCACTGTCTGGTGGCCACCCTCCCCTGCATGGTGGGTTCTGGGGGTGTCCCCAGCCTGGCCCTGGGCCTCTGCCTCACCTCTCGACCCACAACGGGCCAGACCCGCTGGATGGGCCTCGCCATTTCCCCCCACGCCAGGGGCTGTATTGCTTCCGGCTGAGGGGGGCGGTGGCTCTGACCTGTGCTCTGGCCAGGGAAGCTGAGACCAGGCCTGAGGGCGTGTGGGGAACTGGGGGCGGAGGTGGGATGGGGACAGCCTCTAGGCTCTAGACGCTGCCCCCACAGCCCACCCACCCTGCCAGAAAGAGAGGAAGATGACGGCCTTGATGGTGAAGAACTTGAGGACAGGCTCGAAGGGCTGCAGGAGCTCCCTGGTGGCGAAGTAGAAAAGGAACAGGGCGTAGAGGGCCAGGCTGACGGAGACGTTGTAGATGAGGGTGATGTAGAGATAGCTGCTGTGGATGCTGGGGCCAGAGCAGGTGCCAGGGATCAGGGTGGGCCCCGCGCCCCATGTCCTCCCTGCCATCCCAGCCTGGGCACTAGCAGTGACCCAGACCTGGACCCTCCCTGCAGGGTGGGTGGGTGGTACCTGAGCGCAACAACCAGGGAGCTGGGGGTGCCGGCGTGGGGCCCCTTGCGGGGAGTCCCGACACAGCAGTAAGGATGTAGCCCTTCTCCCTACGAAGCCCCCCCACCATCCCTCTTCCCCCATCCACCTGGGCGCGGCCCGTTCCTTCGGACCAGGCCTCTACATTGTGACACCTGGGCGGGTGTGTGCCAGTGTGTGAGCGCATACGTGATGTACGTGCACCCTGTGGATGTGTTCACACACACGTGTCAGCACATGAGCATGTGAGCGGGTGTCTGTGTGTGCACATGTGAAAACACTCATGTCTGCTTGTGTGCACGGGCTCGTGTGAGTGCATGCATGTGAGCATGCGTGTGTGTGCTTGTGTGCACGGGCTCGTGTGAGTATTCATGTGAGCGTGTGTGTATGTGTCTGCTTGTGTGCACAGGCTCATGTGTGTGCATGTGAGCGTGTGTGTGTGCTTGTGTGCACGGGCTCGTGTGAGTGCATGCACGTGAGCGTGTGTCTGTGTGCATGGGCTCATGTGAGTGTGTGCATGTGAGCGTGTGTGTGTGGACTGCTTGTGTGCACGGGCTCATGTGTGCATGTGAGTGTGTGTGTGTCTGCCTGTGTGCATGGGCTCGTGTGTGCATGTGAGCGTGTGTGTGCTTGTGTGCATGGGCTCGTGTGAGTGCGTGCATTGAGCGTGTGTCTGCTTGTGTGCACGGGCTCGTGTGAGTGCATGCATTGAGCGTGTGTGTGTCTGCTTGTGTGCATGGGCTCGTGTGAGTGTGCATGTGAGCGTGTGTGTGGACTGCTTGTGTGCACGGGCTCGTGTGAGTACATTCATGTGAGCGTGTGTGTGCTTATGTGCACGGGCTCATGTGTGTGCATGTGAGCATGTGTGTGTGTCTGCTTGTGTGCACGGGCTCATGTGAGTGCATGTGAGTGTGTGTCTGCTTGTGTGCACGGGCTCGTGTGTGTGCATGTGAGCATGTGTGTGTGGACTGCTTGTGTGCACGGGCTCGTGTGAGTGCATGTATGTGAGCGTGTATGTGTGTGTCTGCTTGTGTGCACGGGCTCGTGTGAGTGCATGTATGTGAGCGTGTGTGCATGTGTGTGTGGACTGCTTGTGTGCACGGGCTCACGTGTGTGTGCATGTGAGCGTGTGTGTGCTTGTGTGCACGGGCTCGTGTGCGTGCATGTGAGCGTGTGTGTGTCTGCTTGTGTGCACGGACTCGTGTGTGTGCATGTGAGCGTGCGTGTGTCTGCTTGTGTGCACGGGCTCGTGTGCGTGCATGTGAGCGTGTGTGTGTCTGCTTGTGTGCACGGACTCGTGTGTGTGTGCATGTGAGCGTGCGTGTGTGTGTCTGCTTGTGTGCACGGGCTCGTGTGTGTGCATGTGAGCGTGTGTCTGTGTGGGCTGCTTGTGCGCACGGGCTCGTGTGAGTGCATGCGAGAGTGTGTGTGTGTGTGTGTGTGTGTGTGTGTGTGTGTGGACTGCTTGTATGCATGGGCTCATGTGAGTTCATGTATGTGAGCTGTGGGTGTGTGGGTGTGTTCATGTGGACTGCTTGTGTCAGCGTGTGTGTGTGTGTGTGTGCATGTGGACCTGGCGCAGGGCTCCTTCCAGGGTGTGGGGGAGGCACTGCCCGACGCCTCCCTGGGCCTGAGTGCCTGAAATCCCCCGTGGCTCTCCTTGGGGTGGGCGGGCTGTAAGGTGGGGGCTGGGGGAGGAAGCCCATGGCCGCCGAGGCTGCACAGCCCTGGCACCCCGCAGACAGGGACCTGCTCCTCTGGGTCTGTTTGCCGCGGCCTCGCCCTGGCAGTCTCCCGAGAGCGGGGGAGGCTTGTCGGGCACACGTGAGGACTCGGTCCTGTGCTGAGCCCCCTCCCTGGCCTGGGGCCCGCACCCCTCCCCTGGCAGGCCGGCCCACCCTCTCCCAGCCCGCACGGCAGCCAGGCCTTACTTGAAGTCCCCGTCGTGGTATTTGCCGAACGCCTGCAGGACGATGGTGACCAAGGCCATGATGGGCTTCACGATGCAGAACTGCAGTGTGGCCTGGTGGGGGAGGGAAGCATGGGGTCGTCCGGGGGGTTGGCTGGGAGGGGCAGGGCAGGGCAGGCAAGCCCCCCACTCACCTGCTTGCAGAAGCGCAGGAAGCCGATGGAATAGGTCATGCCCTGCAGGCAGCAGGTGCCATAGAGGCAGCTGGACCTGGGGTGTGCAAGTCCGTGAGGCAGGGCCCCCGGGAGGACCCGTCCCCAGCCTGGCCCTGCTGCCCGGGGCGCGGAGGGGCCCCCGTGGGCTCTGGGGTGAGACGCTTACCGGATGGGCTTTCCCCGAATCTCAGCCATGATGGCACTCTCGCCCCCCAAGTACTGGAAACACAGGCTCAGGAAGCTGTAGATGACAAAGGCTGCAGAGCAGAGGGCCGGGGCGGGTGGCAGTGAGCCTGGGCTCCCCGGGACCTCCCACTCCCCTGCCCTTAGCTCTGGGACCACCCGCTGTCCCTGCTGACCCCTGGCCGTCAGCAGTCCCTGTGGCAGCGAGGCCCCACCCCATCAGGGCCTGGGCAGGCCCAGCTGCAGGGCCCCCCGCCTCGGCATCCCCGATCCCGACCATCAAGTGGCCCCTTCCCACAGGGCCTTGCCGAGCTGGACTTGGCCCGGGAGGGTGGGGTTGCTGAGCTGGCCATGGCCTCTCCGGGGCCGTCCCCGGATCTCGCCCGAGCCTGGAGCCAGGCAGTGCTCACCTTCATAGCAGTCACGCACCGAGTCAAAGTAGACGTAGTGCTGGTGGCCCCCCAGGAGGAGGAGGCTGAGCCAGGAGTCGAAGGCGTAGATGGGCACAATGAAGAGCAGACGGATGATGTAGCGCTGCTCGTTGGGGACCGTGTAGGAGCGCAGGTGCAGGTAGATCTGGGTGGGCGGAGCAAGGGCAGGCTTGGGGGGGATGATGGGCACACGCCACCGCTGTGCGGAGCAGGGGGCAGCGTCGGAAGCAGCGCGAGCTTCCCGGGCGCGGCTGGCCCCTTCTTCCCGCATACTCTGCTGCTGCAATGCTCGCTCGCTTGCGCACTCACGCACTCATTCATTCGGGGAGAATTTCCGCGGTGGCGGGGGGGTGGGGCGCGTCTGTGGCCCCGGAGTTTCGCCTCTCAACGTGGGTGGGCATCCAAAGGGCTGATCCCCTGGAGCCCTTTCCGGGATGTGCCACATGGAGCAGGTACATCCGGAAAGAAAGGGTCTGTGTGCGAGGATGCGACACAGGACCATGCGGTGGGGCGGGCGGGTCTCGGCAGAGCAGCCCCACCAAGGGGTCTCAGCCGGCCAGTAAAAGTGGTGTCCCAAGATGCCCACGTGGGGGCCTGCTCTGAGATAACGGGGCGCGTAGGCATCAGATGACAAAGCAGGTGCGACCCCATGTGTGTTGGAAACACGTGGTGAACATGGAAGGAAAGACGGCTCTGTCCTATCCCTGGACGGCTGATTATAGTTTGTCTGTAGACCTTTCTTGATTTTCCATGACTTCTGCGGGGAGGGGGGAAAAGCGGTGAGAGGGTCTTGAAGAGGTAGAGGCACAGGGAGCGGGGCACACAGCACCTCTGGAAGGCTTCCTGGAGGAGGTGCCGCTGAGCGCAGGTGGAAGGGCAGGCTGTGTGTGGAACCCCGCAGGCGCCCAGCTTCGGAGGGCACAATGCAGGGAGTGGCGGGGGTGGGTTGGCGTCCGGAACAGTCCTTATCAGTCCCTCACTCCCCGGCTGGTGCAGTGGGCGGGGCCTGGCATGCCCAGCCATTAGGAGACCTGGATTCTGTCCCGGGGCTCGCACTGCCTGGCTGGGTGGCCTTGGCTGCCTCCGTCCTCGCCTACCTCGCCTTCCCGTCCTGAAAGCCAGAGGCTGTCCCTCTCTGTCCTTGCAGGCTGCCCTCCTGTCACGGCGGGCCTGGCCGTGGGGGTGGGGGCGGGAGCTGCAGCCCTGGGGCCCCTGTCTGCCCCATGCAGGGGTGGGGCCCCAGGGGTCACAGACATACAGGCACATGTGCGGTCCCCACAGTGTGGGGGTTAGGCTCACACAGAGCGGGAGTCCGGGACCCCCACCCAGGACTCTGGGGCCCGGCCTCGTAAATCACAGGCTACCCCAGACCTAACCCGGTCCCCCGCCAGGGAGTAGGCGCGTCCGCCACACAAGTGCGCACGCACCACCCACCAGTTCAGTCTTCCTGTCCAGGGGCCCAGGAGCAGCTTGGTAAGACTCAGTGCCAATCCTGCCTCCTCTGGGCAGCCCTCCCGGATGGACCCTGCTGCTCTCGGCTGTACTGTGCCCCGCCCCCCCCGGCCCCTCTCACACACCTGTGTCTACTTCTGTTGTGGTTGTTTGAGGCCGAACAGCAGGTGGTTCTCACTGAGATGAGAGTGTGCTCACCCTCCCCGCCCACCAGTCTGCTGACGGCCCCTGCCCCGGGCCCACGTCCCCACTCATTCCCTCCCCATCCTGCAGGCTGGCTCTGCTCTCGGCACCCCCGACAGCCTGCCCTGGCTCCCCATGCCCCCCAGACTGAAGGCCAAGCTGCCGCACTGACGTTCAAAGTCCCCCTCTTGTGTCCCGAGTGCGCCTTGTCCAGACAGCCCTGTCCCTGGCCTGCACCTCGTGCTTGCCCCACGCGGCCAGCGCGTCCTCCTGGGCCCCTCGGCCCAGACCCTGGCTTCTCCCTCGCTGCTGGGCCTGGCCATCCCCCCTCGGAGGGGCTGTCCCGTCTGCCCAGTGGTCACCGCGTGGGGCTGGGGGCTTGTGGGGCTCTCCTCTACCCCCCTGAATCTGGTGTGCTCCCAGCCAAGCTCCATCCCTGGCAGAGACCTCCCACCTTCAGGCCTGGCTCCCACACGCCGCGTTCTGGAGAAAGCCCCCTCCCCTGCCCCTGTGCCCTGGCCTGATGCAGCCTCCGAGAGCCCTCCATGCAGCTGGGCCTCTGGTGGCTGCCCCCAGCCCACAGCTTGAGGTCCCAGATCGCAGCAGGGCCAGCCAGGGCCATGTCCCGTGGAGAGCGGGGTCCCAAGAGAGGTGCAGAAGGGAGGGCCTACCTGGTGGCAGGTGAGCACCAGGGCAGTCCACACGAAGACCCCCGAGACGCCGCGGGCCAACGCGGTGGTGAGGAAGAGCCGGGAGGTGCCCTGGGAGCTGTTCCCCATGGGGTCTGTCGGTGGGCCGGCGGGCACGGAGGGCACGGTGGGCATGGCGGGCGGGGGGCCGGGCTGTGGCCAGGTTGCTGACACCAGGGGGCCGCAGGCTGTTCCCAGGAGCCCTGAGGCATTAGTCATCTGCAGAGGTGAGGGAGGACACAGGGAGGAGTGAGGGCAAAGGTGCGCCAGGCAGCGCAGGCAGCCCCAGGGCCAGCCAGGGGAGGAGGGGGTGGGGGCGGGGAGGGAGGGGCTCCTCCAGGCCACCGCAAGGCCGGGGCTGCTTGGGCTTCTGTCCCCGTCCCCTCTGTGTGGTTCCAGTCTGACCGTCTTGCCCACTCCCCTGACTCGGGGGCAGCCCTGCTCCGAGCAGGAGCTCAGCTCCAAGGCCGGGGCTGGGGCGCCCTCCTTCCCCAGGGCTCAGCCACCTGGGCGCAGACTCGGCGAGCAGTCGATGACGTAGGGTGGTCCCCGCCTCTGCTGCTTGGGCTCGTGGGAGCCCACGTTTGAGGGGCCAGAGATGTGTTGGAAAATGAGGGAGCCCCCGCTGCCCTGCCTGCCTGGGGTGGAGTCAGAGAGAAGGCGAGCCTGGCGCTGCCCGCAGCAGCTGATGGGGGTGCAGTCCAGCACCCACTGGCTCCCTGGGACCTGCCCAACTGTCCGCGTGCCCGACTGTGCGGCAGGGCCCTTCAACCCCCCAGGCCCGCTCAGTAAGCCCTGGAGGCTGGTTCTTCAGCTGCTGGCCAGCCAGCAGGGGCACCCGGGCCTCTCCCCCGGCCTCTAACCCACGGTAGGTAGGGACCCAGCGCCTACCTCTCAGGCAGGAAGCTCCGGCCCAGTCCTGAGAGGCCCGGCCCCCAGGGAAGCCTGGCTGGTCATTTGCGTGGCCACGTGGCCCCAGGGGCAGGCCCACTGGGGGTGGGGCAGAGCCGCTATCTGGTGGCTGCACCAGGCCTGGGGTGGGGGGGGGCACTGCCTCAGCTCCCAGGTGGCCCACCTGAGCTGCCGCCTGCAGGGAGGGGCTGGGCGGAGGGGAAGGAGCGGACGCTCGTCCCCTCCTCTCCCACTCCGGCTGACATTCTATCTTTGCTCAGCGGCAGCAGGCTCCCAGGAGCCTGCGGGCCGCCAGGCGCCTCACCTGCCCGCGCCGGCCTGCCGGCCAGGTGGCTTCTCCTGGGCCCCAGGGAGGCAGGAGGGGTCTCGGGCGACTGGGCTAGTGTTTGCTGAAAACAGGTGAATTTATGTTGTGTGAGTGTCGCTGAGCCTGCAAGAGGTGCAGTGGAAACATTGCTGGGGTTGTGGGGTCGGGGGAGGAGGGCAGGCAGGTCACTAGGCTCAGCCCGATGCCAGAGACCCTTTTGGGAAGAGACTCATCTGGCTCGGTCTCTGGGGCCGCTGGGGAGGGGGCACAAACGTGTGCATGCCGCCGCCATCGCGGGCAGCACAAAGGGTCTGCTCCGTGCCCCTGATGGGATCACACGTTCATGTCGTCTGTGCCCACCTAACGCTCCCTGCGGGCCTGGGCCATTCGAGGGCTGCACTGTGGGAATGAGGGATACCTTTATGTTCAGAGAGGTGCATCCACACGTCCCCAGTGCCCAGGAGTGTGGGAGGCTGCAGGCCCAACTTCTGGACACATGACCCCTCTCCCCACCCCTCCACACACCCCCGCCCCCCGGGAGCCCCCAGCGCTGCTCGGAACCTTCCACACCGACTTCTCTCCCAGGCGTCTCCTTGTCCTGCCGGCTCAGATGTCACCGTTCCTGTCCCCCCATTAAATCCCACCTGGGATTCCTGTCCACCTGTTGGCTTTGTGCTTGCTGCCTGCCCTCCCTCCGCGGGAGCTTCCCGTGCGAGGCCCAGCCCATCTCCAGTGCCCGGGGAGTGGGCAGCCTCTGTGTGGCCGGCCCTCTGTGGTGGCTCCCACCTGCTCTGGCTGGGGTGGCAGGTGAGGTCTATACCTCATCCAGCCAGAGTAAGTCTCCCCTCTGTGCCCACATCCCGCCGCCTGCCCTGGGTGCCGGGAGCGTGGGTCAGCATGTGTGGACCCCTGGTGACAATGGCTTGGGGAACCTGAAGGGCAAAGACTCAGCTTTGGGGACGTGGACGGGGCTGGCACGGGCCCAGGGGACCCACCCATGCCATAGGTGGGGGAAACGAGGCGTAGGTCCTTCCCAGGCTGATGCTGGGGGACCGAGCCTGCAGCAGGATGCACTCTGGTTAGATGTCAGAAGGACTTCCTAGCTGGAGTCAGCGGGGCCCTGGCTTTGGGGAGGCTTGAGGCCTGGACCCTGGGTCCAGATAGAGGAACTTCCGAAGCTCGGCCGTTTCCTCGGAGGTGGAAATGCTGTGGGGGAGGGCAGTGCTTTCTGACAAGGCCGGATGAACACAGGGGGCAGGCCCGGGGGCCTCCTCCCCCTGCAGCTCTGCCTGCAGCAAGTGGGGGCCAGGGGTCCATGATCCTGGGAAGCCCCTTCCGCCCAGGGCCGCCCCTGCTCTGATGGTGGAGGCCAGGCCCAGTGTCACTTCTGCGTTGTTCCTACAGCTCCCTTACCCTGAGGTTTTCTTGTTCAGCTGTTGCCTCCAGGAAGGCCTCCAGGCATCCCTGGCTCTGAAGCCTCCTCACTCCAGAACCTCTTGCACACTGCGGGACATGGCTTTGCTCAGGGCCTTCCCATCGGCACCAGGCCATGTGTGCACTTTAGAATCCCAGGCCTCCGCAGAGTGGGGGCCTTCTGCCCTCCCCCACCTTCCTCCGGGTCCTGACCTGTCTCTCTGGAGGCAGCCTCAGCCCTCAGTGCCTTGCTCCGCCCATGGCCTCGGGGGCCACCTCGGCAGACCCCTTCACCTCTTGGGGCCTCTGCTTTCTCACCTGTACAGATGAGGCTGGGTTCTCCCGCCGCACCGTGGGTACGGCAGGCAGGTCCCTGCCACCACTGGGGGGCTGGGACACCCCCCTTGCCTTGCTCCGAGCTCAGGGAAAGGCCTGAACCACGTGGCCCTCCCGCGGGGCCGGCCCGGAGGTGGGGGCGGAGAGCCGCAGGAGTCTGGGTGGGGGAGGCACGGGAGACAGGGAAGGGAAGGAGAGGGGCCTGCACCACAGAGGGCTGGGGTCCAGCACCAGGGGCACCAAGCCCAGGAGAGCAGCCCCGCCCCCGGCAGCGGCTGTCATGGCCCACGCGCTCTCAGCAGAGGTGGCCGGGCCGGCCCGGCCTGATTTCCCTGCCCGGGGCTGGACGCTGACCAAGCCCAGCACAGGACAGACCTGCCTGCCCAGGTCCGGGCAGCTGGGGCCTCTGACCCCTGTGTACGGTGACCGGGTGAGTAGGCTCCGGGCAGGTCCTGGCTGGGCTGTGAGTGGCTGAGACGCTGTGGCCGGTGTCAGGCCTGTGCCTTTATCCCCACGCCTGCCCTTTACTACTAATGACCCAACGCCCATGGCTCCTTGGCCTTACTGCTGGCCCTGGACCTCCTTCCAGACCCGCCCTGCCAATGGGGGACATCTCTAGAGCCCTGTGGCTCCTTCCCTGCCGCCAGCCCTGTCCAGTGCCCCCTGGGCAGGCAGAGACAGGTTGGGGGAGGACGCCACGCTCCCCCAGGCCCTCCCCACTGGGGTCCTTTGGCTCTCCTGGGGGTGCCCGCTCCTGGCGTCCAGGGAGTGGCAGGCAGGGTTTGCCCCTGGAGCTTCTGTTCCGGCCCCCGCGATGGCCCTTGACTCAAACAATAGCCACTGTGGCCGAGGGCCTGGGGGTGACTGGACCAGAGCCACTGTCAGCCGAGGGTCCTGGGCGCTCGGGCCTTTAAGCCACTCAGGTGGGAGCTGGGAGAAGTGGGGAGCGGCGGTGGGGCCACAGGCCTCTGCAGGCCGTGGAAGGAACCTACCATCCTGGGGGCCCCCAGCCACTGCTCCCTTCCTCCGGGCCCCCGGGGGGCCGCGGGTCCCTCTAGCTCTAGTTCTGGGATTCCCTGTGTGGTGGGTGAGCAGGGAGGCAGTGCCTCCTGGAGGCCAAGACACCGGCTCGTCACCTGGGTCAGGGCACTGGGCCCCAGAGCCGCGGGAGCAGGGCCCCAGGTCGGACACACGGGGCTGGGACCCCGACGCGGCCCTCCCTGTGTCTGTGACCTTCCTCAGTTTCCCCCACGATTGGAGCCCCTGCGCGCAACAGGTCAGCACCCGTCCCCCTCCCTTAAAGGTGGGCCCTGGTCCCTGTGGCCCAAGGACAGCTCTGGCAGGCCAGCCGTCTCAGTGGGCCCACTGTCCTGCCAGCCAGGTCACTGTCCGGGGGCTTCTAGTCCGGTCAGCCCCGGGGGACCCCAGCATGGGATCTCGGGGACTTCCCTTCCTCCTGGGGCTCTCTGTCCTTTCTGTGCTGCCCATTCCTGGCCCGTGTCCCTCCCCTGTGCCACCTCCCTCCTCCAGGCCTGTTGCCTCAGTCCCCAGAGGGGCTGGGTGTCCCCGGGGCCTGCCTATAGCTGCCAGTCCTGGGTGTGTCCCCAGGGGCAGCCCTCCAGGCGGAGCTGGGGCAGGGGTGCTGGCCTAAGACCCTTTTTGGTTATCAGGTGGCATCCCGGGGCCTGGCAGAGCCCTGTCCTCTTGAGTGCAGAGAAGTTGGTGCAGAGAGTCCGGGACTTTTGGAATTTCAGGGTGTGAGGTTTTTTCTCCTGGAGCCCCTGCCCCACTAGAGTGAACGAGACCCTGGCCTGGACCCCACAGCCCTCCTGTGGGTGTGCACACATGCACACACATGCCTGCCCACGCTCACCTCCCTGGTGGCTCCCTCAGCTGTCTGGTCGGGCCCTTCCGGCAACTCTGTTGCAGGGCTGCAGGACTGGGGGGTGGTGGCTGGGGGTCCAGCCCCGCCGTGGGGCCTCCAGAGCTCTGTTGCTCCTCACAGCAGCCTGGGTCGGTCCAAGATACTGTTGCTCCTGGGAAGCGCTGGCCCTTTCCTGGACCCAGAACATTCCTCCTTGCCACCGCCCACCCTGCCAGGCCGGCCCTGCCAGCCGGGGTGCAGCCCAGACCACACCCTCTGCTGTGCCCTGCCCATACGCTGGGACCCGCCGTCCCTCCCATTGTCCACTGTCCGGCAGGGGGTACAAGCCGGCCGCAGAGTCTCTGACATCTGGGTGTGGCCTTGGGTGGCCGCATCTCTCCAGTCCGTGTGGTCGGGGGTCCAATGCCCCCCTCCTAGGGTGCAGTGAGGAGTAGATGGGGGAACGCCTGCCGTCACCGAGGGATGGGCTCCTGGCTCCAAGTAGCCCACGCGGGTGCTCCGAGGGGCCTCCTCCAGAGATGCGGAGCCGCTGAGAAGTCGGCCAGCCACCTGCTCCTGCAGGAGAGATAGTCCCCACCATCTCCTCACAATATCGGAATCAGAGGGTCCTCACTTCCCACTGAGCCCGCCTTCACCCCCACCCCCCTGCGATGCCGTCTGTCTGCTTCAGGCAGGGGTGCAGACTATGAAGCTGCGGGGGCAGAGCGCCTCCCTGTAGTCGGTCACAGCTCACTCAGGGCCCTCTGATTTCACGCATCCGTCGGGCGTCCTTCCACTCACCCGCGTGCCCCTCTCCTGACCGCCAGTGTCACGCCAAGGCGCTAAGACGCCGGTGCTCAGCGCTCCTGCGTGCAGGTGTCTTAGCCCACCGGTTCCTTGTCATAGCGGGTTTGGGAGGATCGGGGGCTGCCAGGAGAAGCTGCTGGGAGTGATCGCTGAGAGCGGCCGCCCTTCCTGGCTTCTCTCGCTCGCTCTCGGCTCTGAGCCACGTCCCCACGTGCACTGAGGAAAAGGGAGGGCGTGCAAGGGAGCGGGTCTGGGGGGGCCTCCGTGCTGGGCAGATCGCACGGTGGTGGGAGGGTGTGACCTTGACGGAGGAGCCCCTCTAGCAGGCTGGGCTGCAGGGGCTGCTGACGAGCGCCGTGTCCATTACTTCCATCGGCCTGCAGATCGCTGGAAGGCGTGACGACAGTTTGCTGGGCACACACCATATGCAGCCTGTCCGTGCACAGGAATGACCATCCCCACGGCGCGGAGCGCCGCCTGCAGGGAATGCGGCCTCCCGGATCGCTCCTCCTGAACTGTAGTGGCAGCGCCGAAGCACAAGCCCGGGCGCCTCCCCACCCCGTCCGTGCCTGGGTTTATAGGGCAGGGCAGCACCCAGGCACGGGCGTGTGACAGGAGCACATAGCGTCCAACCGATTTCCACGAGCCAGCAGATGGCTCCCGGCAGCCGTTAAGGGTGCCACGCGGAGAAGGTGCTGGGGGCCCCGCTCCCTGTTCCACGCCAGGCCCACCACCCCCCGTCAGGCTGCCAAGGGCCCCGGGCAGGCACCACCCTGGGTCTCCGAGCCCTGTGTCTCCGGGGCCTCTTCTTCAGGGCGGCCTCGAGGGGTGGGTGTGCGGCTTCGTCGCGCAGTCAGGCCACCAGCGAGCGGCAGTGAGGGGCCGGCACCCGGGTTCAAGTCCCAGCTCTGCCGAGCCGGGGGCGGCTGGGTGATGCTGCGTCCATCCCCCTCCGGAACATGCAGATGACGAGAGGAGTGACCTCCCGGGGTCTGAGTGAGGACACGGGCTGTCCCCTGAGCCTGGTCACGGTGATAGGCAGGTGTGCTGGTCCCAGGGAGACGCATTTGGAGACCACACTGGAACACCGAAAGCTGCGAATCTGATCCTAGCCTCAGACTGGGGCCCCGTCCACGCCTCTGCTTCTGGGGGGCGGGTGCTTCTCCAGCAGCTGGTTCCTCCCCATCTGTCAGGACACCCCAGTCCTTGGGGAGCCTCGTGTGTGCACACCCCTTCCCTTCTCTGGTCAGCTGCTGTGTCCTCAGAACTTGTGCTGGTCCCAGTCCTCTGAGAGGCCCACTAAGTGGGGCTCGGGGGGGGCTGGGATGTAACCGGGCGAGTGCGGTGCGAAGGCGGGTGGGGTAGGAGTGGCCAGGCTGGCTACAGGTCTGCCCGAGAGGCCAGGAGGGGCGGCGGAGCCGGCCACAAAGGAGTTCTGTGTCTCTCAGGGAGAGGGCCTGCCTCGGTTTCCCCAGTCACCCAGGCTCCCTGCAGCAGCGTCAGCACCTCCTCTGGGAAGTCTGGCAGGATTCCCACACGTGAGCCCCACGGTCGCCGTCGGCCAGTCTGTGCCCCGGGCGGGGCGGGGCTGATGGTGACCCCGCACGTTCTGCTGTCGGAATGAGCCCTTGAAGTTTCCCTCTGTCTCATCTTCAGCAAACTCATGCTCACCTCTAAACCGGACCGGTGGCTTGAACCAGTCCTTCCCATTGCCTGTTGGAGAGAAGTTTCTGAAGTCAAGAACTTCAGGGTCTTAGAATCCGTTGGTTCTGAGGGAAACGGAATAAAAACATCCCCTTCTGCTCTCACGAGGACATGGACGCCACCCAAGGTGCTTCTTTACGGAGATCTTAAGATTTTATTTTTAAGTCATCTCGACGCCCACCCTGGGGCCGGAACACACAGCCCCGAGATCAAGAGTCGCACGCTCCACTGACTGAGCCAGCCGGGCCTCCCCTCTTTACACAGGGACCCCAGCTTCCAGACCCCAGGCCCTCATTCCCTCTAGTCTCCGATCCCGTGGGGAGGACTCAAACGGCACATTGGACCCCCGCTTCTGGTGCGGACAGTGACGCGCCACCACGGCTAGTGGGGGACGAGGACCAGCCCAGAGGGTCCGAGCTGCTGTCCACCAGAGGCCCGGGCGGTCACAGGCCACAACACCATCCTGAAGCCAACGCCTCACCGGAACTGCCGCACAGCAGGACAGTTAAGAGAGGTTCGCAGAATGGAAGGCAACGGCTGTCCGGCAAGCCAGACCCGCTCAGAGAAGTCAGAGGAAGGAGCGAAGGCAGTGTGCGCAGCGTGTGTGAACCTTGCCAAACGTTTCCTCCCACTTACGGTGCGCTGAACCGAACCTACACCGCGTGATGTTAGTTTCTCAGTACTGCCAGGAAGGACGGTGAGGTATTTGGGGACAGGCGTTTATTGTGAATAAAAAAAAAATTTCCTTCAACAACAGATACTGCACGTGGGGGGCCAGGACTCATGCCTGATGACTCATCTTTCAAGTCTCAAATATATGCAGCTATTTGGGCCCTGGTAAGAACGGTTCATAGCCCCCCAGACACACTCCGCAGCTTTCCTCCACCTGCGGATAAGAGCGCCCAAAGTACAGTCTGCCTGGGATGCGCATTATTTCTTCTGGCTTCTAGAGCTAAAGGCAGAGTTCCTCCTTCTGCCTGACCGAGGGTGTCGCACGTCCCCTCAGCCCGCTGAGTAGCAGGCGTGTCTGCTGCTCCAGGGTCACCACACCTGGCAGGACTGGATCACCTCCTTCAAGGCCTTCAGCCCCTCCACGCTCCTGTCCTTCACAGCCATGGCCAGGAGGACCGCTCTGTTTCCAGCTTCCTGAGACACAAACGTCACCAGGTTCTTTGCTAAGACATGGATGAGAGGCTGGTAAAGGGAAGGAGAGAAACGATTTTAATTGGGACAAATCTGATTTCCCTTAGCGCCTTCGCGGTGTCCCCTAGGAACCCGACTGGCTTCCTACACCCCCCAATAAATCACACCCCACCCTCTAAGTTCAACGTAACAGTTGTTCAGCGTTCAACCAGACTCCAGAACACTCCAGTCCTAAACAAAACGCTGAAGAGGCACCATTATACTCATTTTCTTGGTGCTTTCCGATTCCTTGGTCTCTTCTGGCTGGCCGTCATCTAGAAGGAATCGTGAAAGGTATTCTGCACGGCTGGGGTGGGGTCTGTCAAATCTCACAGGCGATCTTGTCAGAGCTCGTTACCCCAAGGTAGCATGAGAGGGTCAAACCTTACAAGATCAATACCCCGCCCGTCTGCCAGATACAACACTGATGGGCTGGGAAAATCATGCACCAAGGGCAGGCAGGTGCTCTCACAGCTGCGAAGGCTTCAGGAAATGCTGTGGCTGTCCGTGGGCTCCATGGCCCTCCCACCGGACCCTCCGGCCACTACTCACAAACTGCAGTCACACGAGCGGGTTTTCCTCCACCATGGGGACCCCTTCCCAGCCACTTTACCTCGTCCTGCCCAAGGAGGACTTTCGTGGTGAGCACGGGCTTGCTGATGTCACTGGCCACGGGGCTGGGCTCCAGGGAGACCAGGGTACCCATCTTCCCGAACTGGGTCACCACCACCAGGATGTGACTGCTGAAGGCTGTGCAGACCACCTGCGTGGGGACCCCACATACCACTTCCGTCTTCTGTCTGGACACCAGCAAGGGTTTGCCTTCCATGGATGGACCTCTTCAGTGGCACTTTAATGTTTAACAAGGAAAGAGAAAACACGAGAGTAATTCAATCAGACCGTGTCGGATGTGCCTCGTGGCTCCAGCGTTAGTACCACCTGGTATTAAAACAAACACAAGCAAGCCCATCCGAGCGAGCGCCCGTGCACCCACACGGGCTTCACCTGGAACCCTCTGGAGCCGCTCCCAGGCGCGCGTGTGCAGACGTGCGGGCTGCGCCTACCAGGCGGGCCGTCAGGGCACACGCTGGTCTCTATCCCCGGAGGCTCCCGCCCTTCCGCGGCCCGAGGCCGGCGGGAGCGAGCGCCGCAGGTGCACAAGCCCGGGCTCCAGCAGGTGGCCGCGCTCCCGCCTCCCGCTGAGCTTCCCCTTCCGTTTGGGGAAACGACCGCCCCCACAGGACGGGGCAGCACCCCCCCCCGCGCGGGGGAAGGGCAGAGAGTGACGAGAGGCCGGGAGGCCGGGAGGCCGGGGGCCCCGCGGGGACGCGCGCCCGTCTACCCACCCCGCCAGCCGCGCCGCCCGCGCTTACCGCGCCGCGCCCGGAAGTGACGCCCTTGGGCGACGCGGGCTCGCCCCCGCACGGGGGCCCCGCCTACCCGCGCTGCGGCCCCTCCTGCGGAAGTGCGCCTGCGGGCTTCCGGTCCCGGCGGGGCCTCCGGCGCCCTGAGGAGTGGGGTTCCGCGCTCGGGAGAGGGGCTGCGTGTTCGGGACGAGGGGCGGCAGCCCACGACCCGCGGGCCTCGGCCTCCCGGCCTCTGGCCGCTCCCCCGGGGTGGCCTCGGTAGTCGGGGGAACGCCTGGCTGTGGGTTCCCTTCCCGCATGGCGGCCCGGGGGCTGTCGGAGCGGAGCCGGCGCCGTGCAGAGGTCGCCCCACGCCGAGCGGGCCGTGAGGGCCGCCGCCGCGGACACAGGGCCCTGGGTGTGGCCGGCAGGAGTCCCAGCCCGGAGCCCGGGCGCGGGGCGTCCTGCTGACCCAGGCGGGCGGGACGGCGCGGAGGCCCCACGGCGAGGCCAGGGCTGAGGGCCCCGGGGCGGGGGCGGTCCGTGGGGGGGCGAGCCCTCCGCCCCACTCTCCCGGAGCCCCCGGCCCTCCTGGGGCGGTCTGCAGGGGTGGGGGCGAGCCTTCCATCCCACGCTGCCGGGTCCCTCCCTGGGATGGATCTGCAGGGGTGGGGGCGGTCCGTGGGGTCGAGCCCTCCATCCCACGCTGCCGGGTCCCTCCCTGGGATGGATCTGCAGGGGTGGGGGCGGTCCGCGGGGACGAGCCCTCCGTCCCACTCTCCGGGGCGGGGGCATTCTGCAGGGGGCGAGCCCTCCGCCCCATTTTCACGCGGGCCCCAGCCCTCGGGGGTCCATCTGGGCCACCCTTCCAGCGCACATCCGTCAGATTCCTCAGGCCGTGGTGGGTGCCAGCCATTGGGCGAAGTGCTCCGTGAGCAGTGGTTCCTGCAGTCTTGACCCCGTCCTGTAGACGGGCTGTTCAGGTTCAGGGAGCTTGCCCCGGGTCCTAGAGCTGGTAAGGCCTGGATCCGGGCTTTGGACGCTCGCCCTGCTTGCCCTTGATGACTGGTCTGAGGGCTCCGGTACGGGGGAGGAGGAGGGACCAGCGTGGCCCCTGTGGCAGGACGATTTCTGGTCCCCTCCCGCCGTCTCTGACAGCCCCCCAGGGCTCATCCTCTCTTTTTCCAAGCTGGAAGTGTTATTGGCGGGGTGGGGGAGCCTTGCTGCCCTAGCCTGAGCCTGCAGATTCCTCCTTAGGGGAGTAACAGCCCTGCAGAACCCCGCACTCAGAGGCCTTGCTGTTCAGATTCCTGACAATCCCTGCGGGGGCGCATTTCCCCTCCACCTGGCCTGCCCACCGCACTGAGCCCCTTAGGAAGCCTTGGCATCCCTAATCTTTGCTCCCTTTTCTCGTGATTTAATGACTCCTTAGACAATCCGTGTCAAGTCCAATGAAGCACACGCCTTCCAAAACGATTTCTGGTGGCTTAAAATAAAAGGCGTGTATACAAAACATTATCAAAATAGAAATCGAAATCAAAAGGAAACCTGTTTTTGAGCTTTCTTGCAGCCGGTTCATAGAGGGAAAGATTATGACTTTCAAGCTTCCAATACTCAAAAAGGATGAAGGGTATCAATTTCTCCTGAGAGTGTTTTTGTTGGGGCTAAATTTAAACCCACATCCACCCACCCACACACCAAAAGCAAATTGCCAATTCTCTTGCTTTGCCGTGGGAAACCTTACAAAGGTGCATTCACTGCTGTTCACCTATTCATGCGTTCTCTCTGTATACAAATAGACACAAGTTTGACACCCTCCCCTCCAAAAAATACCCAACTCTGGAATAAAGTTCTCACCTTTATGAAAGACGTGCAAGAGCAGAGTGGCTGATAAGTTTCAATGACACTCAAGCAAATATGTCCGTGCTTGTCCGTTGGCTGTTTTTTGGTCGAGATCTTGGGTAGAGGCTGCATATGAAGGAAAGGAGGTGGGAAGTCTAGGAGGGGCTTTCCTGGAGGCCCAAGTGGGCGTGTGGGCGGAACTTGGGCACTTAGAATAATGCGGGTCCAGCTCATTGCCTGCCCCGGGCTGTTCTCCAGTGGGAGGCGAATTCCCTTAAGTGAATCCACTTAAAATGGGAACCGAGTAGTGGAAGTGTCACTGGTGGGGCAGAAGAGTGAGAATTTATCTTAAAAAAATGGGGACAAAACAAAATGTCTTGAATTTGTTTTTCAAGGAATTCTAAGTTATGAATGCCATTATACGTTAATTTGTAGAACCAACGAATCCAGTGTTGATTTGGCAGGGTCATAATTTTTCCAACAAGTCGTCTGACAGCGATTTCCCAGCTGCATAAGGAGGAGGGCGGTCGGAGGGCACCATCCGCTTCTCCAAGCGCCTCTCATGATCCTTTGATATGCACGTTTGACCTTGGAGTCTGTCCTCTCACCAGCGGGCCCCCGTCTGGCACCGCCAGGCCCTCCACGCTCACCGCCACATTCCCCAGTATTAACCTTCACGGGCTTTCCGAAATCTTGCATCTCTCATGATGCACGGCAGCCCCCCAGCCTCACAGCGCGCCTACCAGGACTTGCAACGTCGTGCCTGTGCGTGAGAGAGAGTGGGGGACACGGAGGGGCATTTAAGGGGAGCCCAGTTTTGTAAACGGTCGATTCAGTAGGGAAACTTTCTGTGTTAGGATGTCCCTACTTCCCTCTGCGAGCTCATGCCTTGCCAGCTCTGGCGGGCACACAGGGGCCTAAGATGTCAACCCTGGAAGGCTCTAGAATCTGCCTCCTCGGCCCTTACTAACTGTGCTTTGGGGCAACCTT